TGGTATATCATACATATAAAAATAGATATGAATATATTTAATTAGTACAGTATGCTATTCAGGAGCCAAGAAACGTTCAAACAAGCACTATAGCTTTTATACTTGTGGACATGAACAACAAGTGATAAAGATAACTTGCTGATCAAACTAGTCACAAAATTTGATCTCAAACGTATTCTGTTGTCTACACGAGTATTCTTCACAGCAGGTAAAACAAGTTCTGTTTCGAGCTTTAAAAGAGAAATCCAAGAGGAGGTAATGCACCCCTGTCGCTTCCTCTCTTCTTTACGCGCCTTCTAGGACAGTAAATTTTAGAAAACAAGTTCATTAAAACAATCCGCGCCGTGACATTTCTCTCACAACACATCAGTAGAGCTGTCTTTGTCACCGACGCGAGTCATGAGTAAAACATCGCACTTGCCTGCACTTCCACACGCGCAATTTCTAGGGCAAATAATGTTAATGTTATGTTTGTTGCACCATGGATTATGACCAGATCAAAAGTATTCAAAAGTGAACATTGACCTGCCATGGAATTATTACGTAAAATTTTCGGGGCGCGGTAATTAGGTCACAGGAAATTCTGTCACCGCAAATTTGCTCACAGTAAACAAGTCACACGGTCATTTGGTCACAGTAATAAGATGCAGGTAATGTCATTCACTTCAGCCGCTTGTAGTTCATATACAGCTAGATTCAATTAATAGTGGAGGACAGTAACTGTTGAAACTTTGTGATCTTGACCTTGACCTCCTATGACATTAAAAGTCAAATCTTTGTGTTTGACTCTTCGTCCCCATGGGGGTTCTTCCACAAAATTCTACGTCACGTGGCGTCCACGTTGTGAGTCACATGGTTCCGGTAGCTGACTAATTGCTCTGTCCAACGATACCACCCAATTGCTTCTTTGGCTTCCCTGGAGTTGGAATATAACGTCAAAACGCTCGATAGGACCGATTTCGCGTGTCGATGAATCGGAACCCAAAGTGAAATTTCAGAGATAATCTAATAATGAAGTCATCATATCAGTATCACCTGAATTGTCACGCAACGATGACAGCGTCGTGACCTTGACCTTGAATGACCTTGAAAGTTCTACCGATGTGTAAGTCTCCTCGACCTCTATCCATTCAACTATTGGTTATATACCACTCGTTTTATTGTGGACGGACGTACAGACGGACGGACATGCTTTGAGACTGGTTTTATTTCTCCAACAAGATCATTTTATAACTAACCTCACTTGCAGATATCGTTCAATTGATACAACATCTGATCAGAATATGGTAAATTGCTTCAAAACGATATCCACCAACGAACTGATCGAACTTTTAACTGTACAGAGCAGACAAAAATATCCTATGGAAAAGGAACCTTGAGGCGCCAAGGAGACTTACGTTTCGGCATGTCAAGCATTGCATTCACATTCGGCAATTTCGCATTTGGAATTGCGTCATGAGGTTTCCTAGGAGTGTTCGGGTTGGGTTCCCAGTAGGAAATAATTCACATTAGGGAGTATAATCATAGCATAAGTGAGAAATGAATTGAATGGAGCTTTAAAGTCCTACTTTTCGAACCACGTGGGCTAATGAAGACGGGCAACAGCATGCAGGGTGCAATTAGGGAAGTTTTGCCAGGACAGTGGCAATAACCTGCTCTTTTCCGAATTCCAACTGTCGAGGGATCTTTAACGTGCACAGCCTGTAGCAGGGGAGGCCCTCAGAAAAAGGCTGGCCCGAGTTTGACCGCCCACTTTCAATCTTTTCTTTAGCATTTTACATACTAAAAGAATGACCTGTGGCTCCCAGAAAAACTGTGTGGCTTTAGCTCAGGTGGGTGGGTTTTAAAAGTTAGCCGCCTACCGCTGCCAACCGGCATACCGGAGTGAAAAAAAAGGCGCTAAAATGAGCATTGTTAAATTTAAGGATCGTAGATTTTCATACTACAAAACGGAACTATTCAATTTGACGGAATTTTTGTTGACGTCAATATTATGGAATCAAAATTATTTTAAAAATGAAACGAAACAAATTAATATTTTCCTTAACATTTTCTGATTCAATTCCTGTTTAAAATAGCAATAATCTCTTTTAAAAATAAAATGGGGCACACAATAAAACGTACAAAAACCTCTTAATTTTTTTTGTTTCAGAGTTACTTCCCTTAACTTTTTACTGTCGTCGGGAACATGGAGCATCAAGGCCAAGGAATCTTTCTTCCACCAATAAGAATTTTTTCAAAATTAATCCTTGACGTAGACTATAATACTTCTGCGAATGCTCCTCCTGTTAATCCAACAGAATCGTCGATATAAATTTCACTCCGGTATGCCGGTTGGCAGCGGCAGGCGGTTGGCTTTTAAAACCCACCCAGCTCAGGCCCCTCACCTGATGTTTCCTAGAATTAGAACTCACTGAGCCACCGTGGCTCCAAAAATCATAAGTGAGTAAGTATTTCTAGTGTCTAGAAAATTAAGTAAAAAGAAATGAAGGTTCAGGGGAGGTAACGGATGGAAATCATTTTGTCCAATTTTAACAGTTCAAGGGAGGGAACCGAACACAAACGATGGGTAGGCCCAAGATTAAAACCATTATAGGGAAAAGAGGGATAATTGGTTTCCATGGTTACTGACAGTCTTTTTCTTAAATTTCGATTTGACTAACGCCCAAACAAAGATGTACAATTGAAATTCAAGTTTACGACAAGCCTACGATAAGTCACTAGAATGTTTTCTCCTCATTGACATTTTTCATGATTGTTCCCACTATTTAGTGTGGTATTGAAGCTTTCAGACACCAAACTAACTTTAGGCCTTCAAAAAATTGTATTGATTTAGTCTCAAACCAGCACTGCTGTGCATTTCGGATTACTTGGGGTGTCGCACAAATACCATGTCTTAGAATAGCATAATATATAAATAAAAATATAGGGATATTAAAAATCTTTTCATAAAATAATAACTCCGTTTAAACACTTTGAAATAACAACATTTTTAAAATTCCTAGTTAAAAACATGCAATGCCGAAAGTACTTGTTGTACGGAGCCCCTAAGGCGCAATTGTGAACATATTTATTTATTATTTCGTCTAAACGAATAAATTATTTCGTTTAAACGAAATAACATCATTTATTTCGTTTAAACGAAATAATTAATTCGTTTAAACGAAATAATTAATTCGTTTTAACGAAATAATTAATTCGTTTAAACGAAATTATTGCTTTTTCAATTAGGAACCTTACAATAACAGACGACTATAGAACAAGACATAAGCATGATTTTACTTTCCAAGATCAGATCTTGTTCTCATGTTACCAGGCATCAAATACTCGTACTTGGTGGAATGATTATTAAACGCTTAGGCAACAGTGCCAACAGTCATTAATTAATGTTCCATTATTGAATAACAGTTTTGATATTGGATGGTGTGACATGTAAAAATGTTATATAAGGTATGGAGCATAGATCAAGATGACCACTTCACGGATGAATAGCTTAATGTTCATTTTTTTTTCTAAACAATATTTTATTCATAAGAAATGGGTTGGGGAACAGACTTTCACCTATATGACCCTTTTCTTTATATACAAAAATTGCAAAATAGATTAAATACAATAAAAAAATATAAATTATAATACATATATGCAAATATGTAAATGTAAATGAACATACACACACATAAGGTATAGAGAACAGAATTCATACAGGAATAGAAAGACAATGAAATTTAGCATAGACTGAATCTTAAAACCTTCTGCTAATATTTAGAAATAAAAAAGACAGATAAGATGCAATGTAAATTTCTCAAGTGAGGTGGTTGAATCAGTAGAATGGATTTGTTTCGAGCATCTGAATGTAAGGGACATTGTAGAAGAAAATGGTCAGTATTTTCAAATTGATGACCACGCTGACATGTTGGACTGTCTGAAATATGACGAAGCAATTGATGGGCATTGAGATCACTACAGGAAAGGCGCAGACGGAAATGTAGAATCTGATATTTTCAGTCGCCAAATAAAAATGAATAGGATACGTTTTCATCATGAGATTTGATTTTAAAAAAATTGCTGAGTCGACAATTTTAATATTTTCTTGTAGGTTATTCTACTCACGCATTGTTGACGGTTTTAAGGAGTTATAGAAAAGTTGGGTTCTGCACTGATATACTTGAAGTTTGTTATTACGTCTGAGGTTTTATGGTTTAGATTCAAATTGGACTAATTTAGATAGACACAGATTGGAGTAAGATTGTTAATTATTTTATACAACATGGTTTATTTAATATGACGTCTTCGTATCTCCTGTAGTGTGGTAAAGCCAGTTTCCTGGTAAATTAGTTCATGGCTAGTTCTCCTTAGCACATAGTTCTGAGTGCATCTACGTTGTACGTTTTCTAAAGCATATGTCTGAGGTATAGATGGTATGGAGTGATTTTCTATTTAAACGATATTTCGTGGATCTCAGTTGATTAACCTACCAGTATTTGTTAAAATCTCCTTGATGTTAACATCCCATTGACAGTTTTTTTGAAAAGACATACCTAGGTGTTTGTGGGAGATTACTTCCTTAATAGGTATATAATTTAAATTAAGAGTTGGAAAAAGAGGGCTTTTCTTCGTGCAAAGTGCCAGGTCTTTGTCCAGTTGTTAAGTCATTATCCAGGACAGTCGCACATGCCACCGGGTCCTCAATTCTTATAAATATACATGTTCGTATCGTCGACAAAGAGTAGGATATTGTATTTGATTTTATATTTTTGACAATGTCCTTTATATACATCAAAAACAGCAGCGGTACAAGGGCAGAAGCCTGCAGAAAACCATCAGGAACAGTTGGTCTTTGTCAGCAGTATCAAGTTTGTGACAAAGACCACCGGTATGCCAGACTCTATCAAAAGCTTTGCTGATGTCGCAGAATACTGTCTTTGTATGTTGGCCTTGATCTATTGCTTGACAAAAAAAGTGCGAGAGATCCATTAATTAATAGATTAATAGATTAACGTTCATTTGATTCTGATTTGAACTTCACTAGGAATGTGTCTTATGTCAGCATCATCAAAAAAGTGAATTTCCGCTTCCAAATCGACGTCATTGTGATTTCCATTTAGATTGGCCTTAGAACAAACGGAATCATCTAAATACCACCATCCACCCTTAAACCTGTTAGGACAACCGTGAATGAAATAGTCGCGATCAAATGTAGAAAATGGTTGACCACTCATACTCTTGACTCCACTCATCAAAGACATATTGGTGGGATTCTTATTAAAATTAATATAACTATCGAAATGAAATCTATACCCGTCAGTATCATTGGACAAATTAAAACTATAAAAAAATAATCTCCATCTTTGAAAGTATAATTTTAGTTGAAGTGAAGGGTTGTTATCATTGATATCCTTAAAATGCTTTAAACCAAGCCAATATTCTCCATGAACTTCACCAAATCCAGTTTCATAATCTTGCCAATTTCTATTGAAGTCCACCTCATTACATCTTTTGTCGCGGTTTTGTATAATAGTCATACTTCGTAAAAAATTACATTTCACAAGAAGAATTGGTCCGTGTGCAATTGGTCGAATATATGATATCAAATTAGATTCGGGAACTACTCCTTTCTGTTTACCATCCTTGCAATCTGGAAAAAAATTAACACTAAATATTCAGATGAAATATATTTTCATAATTACACAGAGAAAGTAAAATTTACCGTGATTTGAGTTATAGACCTAGATAAAGTCAACATTTATTTGAGACAGTAATGGGCATTGCTTAGCCAAGCAAATCTGGCCCTACCCAATTCCTCAGACGTGATATACGGATTTCAAGGGAGTTACTCCGATCCAAAATCGGATCGCTAGTTTTTGAGAATTTTCACCGTAAAAAAAGACAAAATAAAATGCATGGTTAGCCATGTCTCGAATATTTGTAAACAGTCTTCGGAAATCTCATAATCCCTTCAAATGTACTCCAAACTAGACATTTCACTTGCTCTCTCTATATATATATGTCTATATATGGCGGAGTATCATTTAAACAATCAAACGCAGATTTGACTGTATTGATGTGCCGAGTTAACAGACGATGATTTTTAATGAATTTGAATAAAACTAATCAAGAAACCAACAAAAAAAAAATTAATAAAAATGAAAAAAAAACAGTTTTTATTCATTTTCACGAATGTCCGATTTTAAGATCTTGGTGAGCTGGAGGATCATGATTTCTGGATGTCTTGAACTTGGCAAAGATGATAGTGATCGGATAACTAATTAATTTGCTGAAAAGTTGGTAGTCTATTTCTCTCCCGCGAAATCTAGGATGATAATTCCTTGGTCAAGCTCGCGGCAATGCTATACTGTTAGTAAATTGCTCAGAAATATTATAATCAAGAACAGGTCACTTTGGCTGTTTAAAAAGAATTTTGATCTAGGCGCGACATACAACATCGTGTGCAAACCACGCCCCCATTCGTCATACTTCCTCCAGTGAGAAAAATTACGTATTCATAGTCAAAATTGTCCAATCAAAATGCTGTCTTGGTAGTAAAATTTCAGTCAATCAAAACAAATCACTCGTTATGACGTAAACAAAACGAAAGCAGCGTGTCAATTTTGATTAATCGAAACAATTGAAGACGAGTGACAATCAAACCTTACTTTGGAATATTAAATTGAAAAGATTGTGTTCTTATCTCTTCAAACGGACAGTACCAAAGGGATGTTGTATTTTGTTTTCATGACCTCATTTCCGTTCTATTGATCTCCTTGGCCCGATTCAGATAGCACCAATCTCAAAGTGTAGTGGGCTTAGTTTAATAAGGGTAAATTAGACAATGTCAAAACCCGTATTCGTGATACATTGGTTATACAGGTTCCTAAACAGTTAATTGTATGGCGTTTGCCATAGATAAATTAACTTTGGATGAATAATAAAAAAAAATTGCACTTTATTCTCATGACTCCCTGTAAATTCCAATATATATTAGACATTACCTTTTATAATATGTTGACATGTATCTCCATAGTAACCAATTGGGCATCTGTTACAAATATTTCGGGCACACAGTTTTTTCTGGAATAGTAAATAGTTATATAAACTAATTAGAATTTTATATCTCGTACATTTGCATCTCACATACTATAATGAAAATTGTAGTCTGCACTTTGAACACAAGATGTAGCATATGACTTTCTGAACGTTCTGGTTAACACTGTCAAATCATCACATAAATATGAATATGCATCGTCCCTGCCAATACAATAAAATCATAAACCAATCCCAATCTACCAAAAACTGTAGTCTGTAGAGTGAACACCTTAAATACATTTTGTATGGAAGCCGGCTGCGACCATATTACCTTCGACTTCTCGCCCACGAGAAGTCGAGAGACGACAAAGCGAGGAAAAAGACGAGAAAGTGAGGGTAAAAAAAAACGAGGGAAATGGCGAGGAAAAAGGCGGGAAAGCGAGGAAAAAGCGAAGAAAAGGGCGAGAAAGCGAGGAAAAAGGCGAGAAAGCGAGGAAAAAGGCGAGAAAGCGAGGAAAAGGCGAGAAAAAGGGCGAGAAAGCGAGGAAAAAGGCGAGAAAGCGAGGATAAAAAAAAGACGAGGGAAAAGGCGAGGAAAAAGGCGAGAAAGCGAGGAAAAGGGCGAGAAAGCGAGGAAAAAGGCGAGAAAGCGAGGAAAAAGGCGAGAAAGAGAGGAAAAAGGCGAGAAACGGAGGGTAAAAAAAAGACGAGGGAAATGGCGAGGAAAAAGGCGAGAAAGCGAGGAAAAAGCGAGGAAAAAGGGCGAGAAAGCGAGGAAAAAGGCGAGAAAGCGAGGAAAAGGCGAGGAAAAGGGCGAGAAAGCGAGGAAAAAGGCGAGAAAGCGAGGGTAAAAAAAGACGAGGGAAAAGGCGAGGAAAAAGGCGAGAAAGCGAGGGTAAAAAAAGACGAGGAAAAAGGCGAGAAAGCGCGGAAAAAGCGAAGAAAAAAGTAGTATATGTCTTTTCGGATATGGCGCATTTCACTTCTGTGCATGCGCAGCTTTTTCAATGCGTCATATCCGAAAAGACACAACTGTTAAAATGTATCATAACAGACTCCCCAAACTGCTAAAAATATATTATAACAGACTCCTCAAACTGTTAAAAAATGTATTATAACAGATTCCTCCAAACTGTATTATAACAGACTCTATATAAATTACCCAAACGACAGAAAAGAATCACTATAATAATACAGTATAAAATATCTGCATTAAAAAATAAAAATGTCTTTAATTTTAAAACACGAACAAAAAAAATTCGAAGGAGACGGTTTCTTCTCTGCGCTAACATCTCTCATCCCCAAAGTGGCCAATTTTGTCTGAAACAACAAATCCCTCATTTCCTCAGGAGGAAATAACATATAAGAGGAATGCCTAATAAAAAAAGTCAATGGTTTTAAAATTATTGGATAGATGTGTTCTGGTTTTTTATGAACACTTCCTTCCCTTTATCAAAGCGAGGTAACTCTTCTTTGGAATTTTTTATTTTTATTTCAGACCACAATTAATTTTTGTAAACATAAAGCGTGGACTGGTTATGTATGTTTAATATATATGTTGAAACAAGAAAGCTATTTTGATGGAATAAGGGCTATGGAATGTGTTTTTCTATCAATTATTCTTTCTGTAGAAGGGAATCATGGGAACAACTGAAAAAGAAATTCAACAATTCAAAATGATCAAACAGTGGAACTGTTTCTCCAAATTAAATGTTTCTAAGATGATGGAGTGAGTGTCCATATTAACCTATAAAGTCAACAAAACCATATTTTTTGTGATTAATTCAACTATTACCACCTCCAATTAGGTATTGAACTTAATCCCCTTTTTTGGTAGTAATTCTACTAATTGAAAAGTATTCGAAAGTCTTCATGTATTCCCCTTAAAGGTTAATTCTCAGAGCAAAAAGTATATTCGAAAGTCTCAGAGAATTAACAAGGGTGCATGAAATTTTATCACTACAGATAAAGAAATTCAGCAGTTTAAAATGATCAAACATTGGAAATCTCTCTCCAAATTTAATGTTTATGAGATGATTGGCTGAGAGTCCATATTAAACCTATAAAGTCAACAAGACCATATTTTTCTTACTTGTGTTTTGTCAATACCCCTTTAAGGTCAATTCTCAGAGCGAAAAGTATATTCGAAAGTCTCAGAGAATTAACAAAGGGTACATGTAATTTTTATCACTACAGATATGATTATATGATGGGATTAAATAATTTGGAATTCACACAGAATTTTATATCTGTTAGAACTCCAAGTAATATCATGAAAATGATATGATTATATGATGAGATTAAATAATTTGGAATTCACACAGAATTTTATATCTGTTAGAACTCCAAAAAATATTATGAAAATGATATAATGAATCTGTAGTGAATTGGAGTATCACACAAGGAAGTAAATACGTAATTGTTGACTATATAGATCAACATAGAATACACTAGTAATTCATCTCAAAAACACAAATTTGAAGCTAGATTCCTTTGTCCGACATCTTGAACTGTTAAAAATACTGAATCTGGAGTGATTTGGAGATGATATATATATATAGAGAGAGACTACATATCACACAAGGAAGTAAATACGGAATTGTTGACTATATAGGTCAACATAGAAATTCACTAGTAATTCATCTCAAAAAAACAAATTTGAAGATAGATTCCTTTGTCCGACATCTTGAACTGTTAAAATAACTCAAACAGATTCCTAGTATCCCTTCATTAGATGGAATAATTAATGAAAAAGACAGAGCATATTAAAACGCCCCTTATACATATTAAAATGGCTTCCTTGTTTTCTTAATCGTCCAGGTTGTAGACGGTTTTTATCAGTCTCTTTTTTTTTCTCCTCGAAACTTTTACAATAATCCGAAAACATATTATCCAAATATTTAAAAAAAATTTCATAAAGTGAATCATTTCTATCGCTTTCTCCTTGTATTAAATCTTTCGTATTAAAAATATATGGTGTTTATTGAACAAATATGTTTTTAATAAATGTCCATCCTCCTAAAACGTATTTCGGTGCGGGAGACATTAAAAAGTCATTTGGTTCTCTTCCTGGATTCCCATGGGCAAAATATCCCGGAGAAAAACATCTCCCAGGGCACAATTATACAGGTCCAGGCACTAGGTTAGATCTACGATTGGACGAAAATGATAATCCCAAACCAGGGGAAGAACCCGTTAATAGAGTTGACGCGGCAGCGCTCAAACACGACATACTGTACAGAAACAAAGACATAACATTCAGACACCAAGCAGACAAACAAATGATAGACGAACTCGAAAATATTCCCTATCCCACTTTCAAAGAGAAATTACAGAGGGCTCTTATCATAAATCTTTTGAAGGCAAAATTGAAATTGGGTATGGGCATAGCAGACGAGATTCACAAAGAATTTCGAATAAACAAACATTACCTCAAAGTCAAAGTTTTTGATAAAGATGAAATTTGGTCAGCCGATTTAATCAACATGCCAGTCGAGAGAGGGAACAAGTATTGTTTGACGGTGATCGACATATACACGAGTTACGCTTGGGTCTTTCCCTTGAAAAACAAATCGGGTCTGACTGCCAAACAAGCATTCGAAACCATAATGAAACAATCCGACAGACGACCCCTAAAGTTGTGGGTTGATAAAGGAAGCGAATTCTACAACAGAAATGTGAAATCTCTGGGGTTTGAAATTTACAGCACGCATAACGAAGGTAAGGCCGTAGTGATAGAAAGATTCAACAAGACTCTTAAAAGCAAATTCTTCAAGAAATTCACGGAATTGAAATCTCAAAAATGGCTTAAAATATTACCAGTTGTTGTCGACGAATACAATAACAAAATACATTCGTCTATAGGTGTGACGCCAACGCAAGCCTCGAATAACCCAAATATCATAAAGTCCGTCAACACTCGAAACAACTTTGAAAACGAGATTAGCAATTTGAATATTAAACCCAAATTCAAAGTTGGAGATCGAGTTCGTATTTTTAAATATAAATCATTGTTTCAGAAAGGTAACGTCGGGTATTGGACTAACGAGATATTCATCGTTGATAAAGTAAACACCACATCACCTCCCACGTATGAATTGATCGATCAAGACAAAGAACAAATCATAGGAAGGTTTTATCAAAATGAACATCAAAAAACTGACTTTTAAAAATTAATCTCGAAAATGAAGATTTAGATGAAAGGTTAAGAAATTAAGATGTCGACAAACATTTACGCTTTCTTAAATTAAAATTTTTTAAATTTAAATGTAAATTTATCTTCAAAATATTATTGAATGTGTTTTATCAGAATGTTATACAAGTTTTTTCAGACACAAACTACGTATATATTTCGTCAATTGGGTCTTCAGCAATACTTACCGCTTACTTCGAAAAACATAACACCTCAAAAAATCAACTTAAAAATGAATGCATTTCTCGATAAATACGGAAAAGACACGACCACAAATTTTCAACTTGTGAAATGGGCCAAGGAGTTGAACGTATCGCCGTTTTATTATTGCATGCGAGATGAAATTGATGAACTGAAATACAAGAAAGGTAAATTTTACGCGATCACAAACATTCATATGTCGGATCAAAAAGGAGTTCATCACTCTGCTCTACACAAAAATTCTTCGAATAACTTTTATTTCTTTGATTCTTTCGGTCTAGAACCGACAGAAGAGATAACGAAATTGACTAGCAAAACAATCAAATGTTCTACGTTTCAAATTCAAATGCCAGGACAAAAGCTGTGTGGACAGCTGTCGCTTTGGGTTTTATATCGGTTGAGTTTGGGAGAAAAGTTTGAAGAAATTATAATAAATTTAACTCAATAAAAATTGCAAACAAGTTTGGATTAGGGTCTTTACCTCTAGAATCTAAAAATCCCATGACGGCGTTTATAAACAAAGCGAAACCTTTTTTCGTGGATCAAATCGGAGACACCTTACAAGGGGATATCGATATGAACAATTTCAAAATAACTAATTTAAAGTTTCCAGGTAACGATAACGATGCCGTGAACAAGAAATATTTACTGGATCAAATTCAAATAGATAAGGACCATGTTGAATAATAGAATAGAATAACTGACGTGAAAAGATACCTCAGACGAAATATTAAAAATCTTGTGGACGAACCCAAACTACAACAAGAGTTAACGAGTTTGAAACGTCTTATTCAAGTGGATAAAACAAGTCAGTTGCAAAATTTAATATCTAAATTAGATGATAAGATTACGAAGGTAAAATTAGACGTCCAACGTTTAATAGATAACCCAAATGTAAACGAGGATAGATTGAAACAAAAACTAACCGCTTTGGAAAGAAAACGAATTGCTAGCAGAACTAGACAAGACCGTGGACAAAACCGAGTTACAAAATTCGATATCCAATTTGAACGAAAAGAAGCGAAGCAAAAATCAGATGTTCAAGATATAATTAACGCACTTCCCATTGACAAAGATACGTTGAAACGACAATTGACTGCTTTGGATAATAAAATCACTGACGAATTAGAAAAAGAAGTGGGTGTAATTAAAAACTTTCTTCAAAATAAATTTCGAGATGATATGAAAAATTCTATTAAAGAACATGTCAATCTTTTAGTATCTAGAATTCATGACGATTTTTTGAGACAAGAGAGAACGTTGACCAAATTAGAAGGTACTGTCACGGACAAGTCGTATTATTTCAATCTTCCATTCGAAAGTCACACTGTCTTCGATGAAAAAGACCAAATTTATAAATCAAACAAATACGGATTCAAAGCAGAAATAAAAGTGGGTTCTCTCGTAGACGGAGAACCTAAAAACGTATTCGATATCGGCGAAACGGAAGCGTTTTCATTTTCGAGGTAATTGTCTGATTCAAATAGAGTTTCCCATGAAGGTTAAAGTCAATAAAGTAGTCTTCAAACAAACCGGTAAGGCCGTCAAACATATTTCATTATTCAATGATGGTAATTTGGAAGAGAACATACGTTTGATTGATAAAAGGGATCAGGAAATTGAAACGAAAAATGGGAAATATGTAGACACCTTTAAAATGGAAGTAGAAAATGATAAGGATAACATTGGAATCAAAGATTTAGATATGATATTGGAGACGGAAAATCCACCATCAACCAACATTGTCAAAATTCCACGACGCTTACACGTACACGGATCAATAGAATCGAGCAGTCACGAGTTTTTACGAACAACAGACTTTGAATACGTAAAACTGTATTTCGCTTTAGGTGAAAAATACACCTCGATCGATGTTCATAAAAGTCAACAAGAAAGAGAGTTTATAGTGTATTTATCGTTTGCCGAAGACTCCATCCTTGAAGGTGGTGGTTTTATTTTTAGAGCCAAGATAAACATCGAAAAAGAAAAAAGAAAATATTCCTATCATCTTAAAAAGGACCATACGAAAAAAGAAATGTCGTTAGTACGCGTAAATGTTTTTACTTTTAATACCCGCAAATATAATAATGCTAGGCCAAACAAGCACGCTTTATACGATATTCCGTCGTTCTTTTTATCGGAAATTCACTTAATTTAACGACTTAAAAAATGGAACTCGAAAGCAGACAACAATACATGATAGACAAACAAGAAGAGTTGAAAATAAAGTTAAGACAGTGCAATACATGCAACCATATTGGCTGCATTAACAGCCGTTCAAACGACCTCTTGGAATCTCATCACTCATCACAAGCAAAAAGAAAGCTCATTATAAAAAGAAAACGGATATCTTGAATATGTATCTTAATCAATTGTACATCTTTTTCGAAAGATCGAGAGAAGACAAGAACATAACAGTTGAAGAATTAGAAGAATTCAATGAAATTTTTGATAAATTCCATACAGAAATATCAGCGGTCAAAATAAAGAAATAATCAAAAATATATAAAAAATATGAATAAAATCGAACACGATGAAACATTGATAGAAAACGCTCTATTTTCCGATGTTATCTCTGATAAATTTAAAACATTCAAAGGACAAATTAAAATAGATGGAGAGATAGTCGAGGAAGGGAATCACAGGCAATACATGTCACTCCTCGGTTTCAATGCCAAAACTTTTCACAATATCTTTTCAAATATGGACAAAAAATCTGATGCTTCCGATTGGTATTTTACAGGAAAAATAATTTTAATGAAAGACAATTTCCAAGAAATAAAAAGATCGAGAGTTGGCAGAAGAGGAACTGATCTACTTAAAAAGATAAATGAATACGAAGGTGAAAATTGTTACATACCTACAGATGGTCACTGTTTTATCAAATGCGTCAATCGTGTTTTGAACAAAGATTTAACGTGTAAATTTCAAGAATACATCAACGGGTTTTCAAAAGCAAATAGAAAAGGAGTGATGACTTGTGCTAGAATGAAGGAATTCAACAAGAAATTTAACACTTCGTTTCAAATTTATAATCCCAAAAACAGACATTTTCACCCCAGAGACGTACATGATGAATTAGATTGGGTTTTTTACTTACACAACTCGCATTTCTGTCTGATTAGAAGAAGCCAAAAAAGTTTGGAAATTCAAGAAATAGAAGACAATTACGAACAGGTGTGGAAAACGTGTAGAGATGATAACGCAGTAACACAGGTTTCACCTCTCAAACTAAACGTGCTTTCAAGTATGAGTGATGATGCGTTATTCGCTTGGGATTGCGAAACGTATAATTTAGAAAAACTAAGAAAAAAGTTAGAAAAAGATATATTTCTTACTGATAATGTTCCAGAAGAATTTAATGATAAACTAGTAGAAATATTTGTAGGTACAGATTGTATAGATCAAATGTTGAAATATTTAGGTCAATATGATAGAAAGAGATTAATATTAATTTCTCATAACGGCAGTGGATTCGACAACTGGATCGTGCTTAAAAATACAAAAAAACTAACGCATTGCCCTTTAAAAACACCCAGAGGAATTCTATCTTTTCTTTTATCTAATCCATTCACAGATGAAGATTTACAGAAAAAATGGAAAAGACAGAAAGAAATAAAGGGTAATTATTTACAACATATTAATTTCACATGTTCCTATCAACATGAAAAATCTAGTTTGGCTGCATGGGGAAATTCTTCCCGCGAATTTGAGAAAGATTGCCGACGTGGATATCGCTTAATACACGCAAGACAACTGGGAGGAATTGAGACACGAATGGGAACCTTACGCCAAGAGAGACACTCTCTGTTTGGGAGCTTGTTTGATAAAATACAACCAAGTAATGAAAGAAGTTGTAAACCAGAATATGTCCAATAATCTAACGGCTCCATCTTTATCTTTAAAGGGTTGGTATTATTTATATCATTACGATAAAGAAATGGTTGAAGAAGAATGGTATGAAACTACTAGAATGGTTGCGAAACATACTGAAAAAGAAAATATAGAAAAAGTTTATTCGCACACTAATCCTTTTATAAGAAATTTTATCAGACGATCTATTAAAGGAGGAAGAGTTTCGGCAAATAGAAAATCATTTGAAACGAACAAAATGGATGAAATTTGTAACGTATTAAAGGAATATATTTCACACAGACACACAGTGACACAGAACTTGAAAGTAATAACATAATTGATTTATTCAAAGAATACAGCGCAAGCACAAAAGACAAAACGGAGGTTCATTCGAGACTTAAAAAATAGAATGTACTAAACTAATGGCATTTGATGCTAACGGTTTATACGCTTCCGCCATGTCGGATTTAGACAGTGAATATCCGAGAGCGGAAAGTGGAAGACCGTTTCTACCAGAAGAAGAAAAAGAATTTGTAAAACTCTTCTCCTAGTCCAGCAGACATAGGTAAACGCTCTCGTAGAGAGGGCACACCCCTTCTCTTTTCACTTTCAGACTCGTCTTCCCCTTCCACACCATCTGAATCTTCACCACGTGATCCAGGATCCGCCAACCTTTCTTCCTTGTGTGCGTTTTTGGACCAGCAAACCACCCCTCAGTCTCCATCCAAGTCGAGACGTGTATCAAGATCTTCCCCCCCTCGAACCAGATCCCAGTCCGTTCCCAATGCTAAAATTCTAACAACTATCAAACCAGTACCAATCACACCGTCGACGACCATTATATCCGCTACCAAACCGTATTATCACCAAACCAAGGACAAATCATTATGGAAACTACCTGCTCTAAAGAAATCTACCTTAATAATTGGATCATCTAACCTGAATCGAATTACCAAAACCAGTTCAGGCACCGAAATACATTCTTACCCCGGTGCCCAAATCCATCACATACAGTCAATCCTGGAATCATACGACCATGATTCCAAACCTACTACCATTATTCTTCATGTAGGCCTCAACAACCGTGATCAGCTACCAAAGACCTCCTTTAACCAAGCCCAGAAATTAATCGCCACAGCCAACAAAACCTTCCCAAACTCCAAGATCCTCTTCACATGTATACCCATTTCAAATAAAATCTCGAAGAAAGCACACCCCTTCAGCATTCAATCTTAGACCGTGGACTTAAGTTTATTCCCACACCAAAGATAGCTAACTTGAATTATCTCCGACCATCCATTGAACGATTTCAACGAAATCTTAGCTGCACATATTTTTTTCGAAACCACCCCCACGTGGTGCTAGAACAATGTTTATTCCTAAATCCACGTGGACACCCCCTCAGGCCGCCATCCATCCTGAAATATTGAAAGCATTTGCGAGTATGAATAGCCAAACAGTGAACCTTTCCATAACACACGAAAAGCCTAATCTCACACGAGTGGAACGTGAAGCGTTAAACTCACTTAAGAAATACGATAGCATTGTTATTAAAAAGAGTGACAAAGGTTCATGTTGTGTCATTCTGAATAGGGAGAATTACGTTTCAGAAGCAGAGAATCAACTGAATAATCCTAAACATTATGCCATTTTACCGAAACCAATTTTCAAAGAAACTGCTAACATGATTAATATTATTCTTGCCGATTTAGTCAAAACTAATTATCTCAAACAGAAACAATATGACTATCTGTCTGCCAAACCTGATAGTCGCGAGAGACATTTGTACACTTTGCCTAAAATCCATAAGAATCCAACCAAGGAGTGGTTTATCTCGAATAAAATCCCTAAAGGCCGCCCGATTATATCTGACTGTGGTAGTGAGTCATATGCAGTGTCAGAATACATTGATCATTTCTTACTACCTCTAGCATGCCAACATCGCGCCTACCTTAAAGACACAACCGATTTTGTCAATAAAATAAAAAAGTTCCCTCTAATGCACATTTAATGGTAAAACATATTTACAAACTTCAGGGACAGCAATGGGCAAACGATTCGCCCCTTCGTACGCAAACCTTTTCATGGCAGAGTGTTGCCCCTCTGTCCATTTGACCCACTTTTTTACGGACGCTTTTTGGATGACATTTTTATGGTTTGGACTTATTCTACCGAACAGTTTTGGGAATTCTTTGAAATTCTCAACAACCACCATCCTTCTATCAAACTAACCGCAAACGTGAGTGACAAAAGCATAGACTTTCTCGATACCACAGTCTTTAAGGGAGATTCCATAGCAGAAACAAATAAACTGGATATTAAAGTGTATTTCAAAGAAACTGATACTCATCAACTCTTGCAAAAGAGCTCCTTTCACCCAAAACATACCTTTTCTGGTATAATTAAGTCACAAGTTTTACGATTTCATCGAATTTGTACAAGATCTTCTGATTTCAACCAAGCCTGTACGATTGTTTTCTCAAAACTGAAAGAGCGTGGGTACTCTAAACGATTTTTACGAAACATAAAAAATTCCACCTTAGCACAGATAGCAGCTAAAAACAGACTTTATGCCGAAGTACCCCCAGGTTTAAGAAGTGCTCCATGTTTGTCCAGTAGATGCAAAACATGTCCCTTTATATCAGAAACTCATTATTTTGTAAGCAACTCTACGAATAAAAGGTACCCGATCCAGGAACATCTAACATGTGAACATTCGAATGTAATATATTTAATTTCATGCAAGAAATGCCCCAAACAATATGTAGGAGAAACTAAGAATAATTTACGAATTCGCTTTAATGCTCATAGGTCAGACATCAAATTAAAGAAAGACAAGCCTGTTTCTAATCATTTCAACCTCGACGACCATTCAATAGACTATCTCACCCTAATCCCAATTGAGCGTATAGAAATTGACTTGCCCGAAGATGAAACTACCAAATTCCGTCAATCTAGGGAGGCCCATTGGATTGAGACACTGAATACAGCAAGACCTATAGGACTAAATATTCATCATAATGTAGGCATAGCACCCTTTGTTGTCCCGTTTAATACAACCAGCAATCGAGCAAGCAAGATAGTTCATGCCCACTATAAGAGCCTTCAAGAGAAATTCCCCCATGTCTATAAGCAGAAAATGATAGTTGCATATTCAAAAAATAAGAACTTAAATGATAATATTGTTCATAGTAAACTAAAAACAAACAGTACATAACAGATACTATACTTCTCGCCCGGGCGAGTTATTTTTTTCTAATTTCAGATCAGAATAAGGACAGAAGAAAACCCAATATCAAGACCCTTAATCCTTCTTTCTAAATAAAGTGTCTGCTCCACCGTAGGCCTGTACATTTGGGAGAATCAAACCCTCCCTTCCCCGAAAACCAAAAACATGTTCTTCCAACCGATACCAGCTAAAGATAAAATCACTTTCACGAATAAAGAAGGTAAAAAGGAAACTGGTAACAAAATCAGGTTCAGAAATGGTTTCTGTCACGGCGTTTTAACATCGGTCGATATTCAAGAAATAGTAAAAGCCGGTGGACGAATTATTAGAATATTAGATGGTATAGTTTACGAAGAAAATTTTAAAACTCCACCCTATAGAGATTATATTTTAATTTGAGAGATCTAAGAAATATAAACGAGAAGGTAATATCGTAGGTAGTAATTGCATGTATTATTAGGTAATTCCTTGTATGGTAAATCAATTCAGAAAGATATATTCACAACTAGACATTTATGGAATGAAGCAACTTTACAGGTCAACTTTGATTCACGTGTTAAAACCTACCTAATAAAAATTAATGATACTCAATATATTGTTGAAACAGAAATTGAAGAAAAAGAGATTACTACCAAAGATAGTAAATCTACACGACTAACACCTAGTCATTTGGGATCATTCGTTTTATCTCACAGTAAAAAAATAATGAATAATTTCATTCACGTCATAAATGGATTTTATAAACCCGAAATATACTATACCGACACCGATAGTTTGTACATTTCATCCAACAATTGGAAAAAACTAAACAGAGCTGGTTTGGTCTCCGAAAAAGACTATTGCAAAGGTAAAAACGATTACGGTGACGGTGGAATTATATTTGGTTCATATTTAGCACCAAAAGTCAAATACAACATCGTTTTGACTTCTGATGGTGTTTTAAAAGAAAAGAAAACGTTTAAAGGTTATTCTAATGATAACATAAGTGTAGAAGATTACGTTCAGTTAGCAAGCGGACATGATGTGTCGAACGAATTTAAGAAACCATGGGAAAAAAGTTTCACCAATGGAGTAGTTATTCCAAATGATAAACAAACTAAAGTTTTTAGAAGTTATTTGAATAATGTTAAAAGAAAACCACCAAACAGTGAAGGGATTATGTATCCTTACAACGACAAAGATGGGTATAGTTTTGATCAAAACTATGAATTTGATGATTTCGATTATCTTACTATTAAAGAAGAGAATGAAGATTGTTTTAAATGAAGTTGAAAGACAATTTCTTCGTTGCCAAAGTCTATGAACCTGTTTTTACCGTCTTTGATTTCCAGATTTATATCTTTGATCATGAAAGAATTGACTGGTAAATAGGTCGTTTGAAACGGTTTCTCTATAATTCTGTATCCGATCGGCACCGTAAAAGTCGGTATGCTGTATATGATTTGACGTTTGTGCTTGTTGAAAAATCCACCGTTGATCAAATTACAATGAATGTTGATCACGTCGATGTCGTTCTCGATGTTGGCCTTGTGTGGCGCCAATGTCGATTGCGCGTATATTCGTTTATCGAACCCTAGTAACGCATTCAACGAATTTTCTACATTGAAATCATCTTGACTGTTATTTCTCAAGATCAATTTTATTTTGTTCAGATTCAAATTACCTTCGAATTCGATATTGTTTTTACCGCTCACGCTTCCTGCGTATTCGGATAGGTAATCGTTGATGGCTACGTATTCGTAGCTTCCCGGTAGTAAGCTTATGGTTTTGAACGTAACTCCGTTATCCGTCGATATTTTTAGTTGATTGTTTTTTTCGTTGATGTTTCTAATGGAATTGTAAACGGAGAAATACTTTAATCCCAGTTCGTACTGTTTATTGCGATCGAGTTCATACTCGTAGTCTAGAGACAATTTGATGTCTGATTTATTCGAGGTGATAACGAACAATTGCTCTTTATTGGACATTTTTAATGACGTTTATATAGTCTTTTTTAGTGATGATTTTTTTCTCCAAAAGTCGTTTTAATATGCCATTGACTTCGTTGTATTGTCTGTCCGATCGATGACCTTCCTTCATGGCCGCTAATATTACTCACAATCTATTAACTAGTTCCTCGTTGTTGTCGGACAAAAAAGTTATACCTTGCCCAGATGCCACCATATCATCGAATTCGTCTATTTCTTGTATGATTGGATAATCTTCTGCATAATCATCTTCATCCTCTTTATCTTGCTCAATAACTTTTGTTATATATAAATCAACTTCTTTCAATCTTCTTGTTTCGGGTCCTGACTTTCTGATCGCATGTAGAAATTTTGAGTATGCTACTAAATCCTTGTAATCGGCAATTTCAACATCCTCGCCATTCATTAAATCTATTAATTCTCTCGTTAATGTAAATATAAAGTCTTTTGAGTCGATTTTGAATTGTGGTGAATAAATCTTATTCTAAAACCATTAAACAACAAACCCTCATCATCAACGATTGGTGAAATGCTCTTTGGTAAATCTGGGTCAGGGTTTAAAAAGAGACGTTTTATATCATTTAATGCCTTAATTCCACCATATTCAATCGGTGGATCTTTATGGGGTGAAGGTTCTATAGCGAGTCTCTTTTTAATATCTTCTTGACTTTTTAATATTGGTTGAAATAGAGTCTGTAGATTTTCCGTTAATCCGAGTTGTTGTAATCTGTTATTTTCAACTTGGGTCTTTATTTTATTCTTAGCTTTGATATATTCTCTATTTCTTTTTAAAATATTATTCCAATCCGTCATTTTAAAAAAAATAAAATTAACATATGTCGATCATAACTCTTTCTCCCGCAGGTTTTCTAGTATTAACAAATACATAACCATGATCATCCGGGTTTCTCCATTAGCTTTACAAACCTTTTTAAACGTGTCTCTGTCCATTCCGTGATTTATCGACTGAATGATTTGAGATAAATCTTTGTCGTTTAATTCGAATAATAAAAAACAATTTGCGTTCTTTCTGATAAACATGGCGTCCATTGGGATTGGTATATGCAGTGACAGTTGTGATGTCTTCCTTTCGTGAAGAATTCTTGTTGAACGGTTTGACTTTTTTGTGCCACGCAGTCGTCAAAGACAATCAAGTTCTTTCGGTGGTTGTCGATTTTAGACAAGTCTAAATCGTTGACGTTTTTAGTCAGAAACACTTTGACGTCGGTCGGTTTCAGAGAAGGATTCTTTTCTTTGATAAAGCCGTCTAAAATATCTTTTATTTCCGCGTTTTCTTGCAAGTCTTCGTTGCCTTCGTAGTAGTGAAAATGTCTTGAACTTCTTCTTTCGAGATGTATTCCAAAGCTTTGAGAAACTGATAATAGGATTGTTCGGGAGTAGTCGTGTAAATATACAGAGACTCGAAATCTAAAAGGTTCGGTGTTGTCAACATGTTAAAAGTGAGATAAGTCTTTCCACAACCCGAAGATCCGCAAATGCACATGAGCATGGGGTTGCTAGGAAATATGTCCGAATGTTTGAATTTCTTGCCCATTTTTATTTATTACATTTTCGTACCAAAAATCACCCCGTTGCCTTTATACTTTGAAAGAAAGATTCCCTCGCCCGAACGTAAGTTTTTAAAAAATAAGGCGTTGCCCTTGTGTTTGACTTTTATTTCTCCGGTGTCGATATTATCTATTAATTTGCTTAATCCCTCTTTAACGGTTTTCTTGGTTTCTTCGCCAAATCTTTGTCCGAATTCTTTGACCGTCCCTAATATATCTCCTACTCCCGAACCTCCTCGTGCTTCTCTTTCCATTGCCAAATTGTGTCTACGTGCTTCAGCTTTCTTATCTTTGACAGCTTTGGCAATCCCAGCAGCCCCACCAGCAGTTGCGCCTGCTTCAGCTAAACCTGCAAAGATTAAAGGTAAGAAAGGTAAAAATACACCTTTTTTAGTTAAATTGTGATCAATTCTTTCCAAGTCTATATTGTCTCCGACTTTGCAATGTTTGTATTTATCGATAATCTTTTGGGTTATGTGCACTTTTTTACCGTTGTAAGTTATTAGAGTCGGCGAATACGTTTCGATAGCTTCTATTATTTTCATGACTAAAGTTTCTGGTTTCATTTTTCAAGGGTGTTTTTTTATTCAATTCTTATCATTCTTCTATCTGATATTTTAATCAAATGTTTTGCTTCTTCCAGCAATAAACAATAGCCGGTTACATCTCCTTGTGTTTTATCGATGTGAATATTTATGTTTACCCCTGTTTTGAAAAGATCTTCTTGATGAGCTGACAGATCGAAACAAAAGATTGGATGATTGAGTGAAAAATCTGTGTATTCAAACTGAGGCGTATTTCCAAACAATTCGCACATGTTTTTATAGTTTCTGTACAATTCGTTGTAATCTTTTTTGGAAGGATCAATTGTCAAAGGTTGATTGGGATAATTATCGTTGTTCAATCTGACTTGAACTGTGCGAATGGTGGGATCTTGAGTATGGTTCAATGCCACTCTGAAAATGTTGTTGTTGTTTGTCTGAGAGTCTGGCAAGTTTTTGAAACCGACCATTAGATATCTCGCTGGTTTGACGGTGTTGGTGATTGGCCACGTGGTGGATTCTCCAGTTAAAATCATGCTACCCACCGTGTTACGACGAAGAAAAGCAATTTCGATGTCTTTGGTTAAAGAGTTGAATATTCTCGTTTCCACTTCTACGGAAGGAGTGATTACCGGTATGTAAAGTTGGATATTCGTTATTTCCAATTTTGCGTCGTTTTGAGTTGTTTTCACCAAAGAATATCTTGTTGTCGTTGATTTCTCTTTGCAAATGAATATTATACGGTAAACCTATGGAAACCTTTCTGTGTTCCAAGAGACCAAATAAAGGATACAACTTCCAATTTACGTAATTACCCCATCTGTTGTTCTCGACAACATTGTTGTATTGAAGCGCTCGTTTTTCAAATCCGTGATTTACTCCGCGAGTCACTCTTTCCAGTGTGTTTCTAGCAACTACCCTTATCCTAGCAAGGTCTACGTGATTAGCTACAGTTCTGACCGGTTCTTTTAAAACTTCTCCGTCACCGACATCGGCAATCCATCCCGAAACTGAATCGTAGTTTTTGGGATACATAACCGTTTTCAACATTGTGTCAAACTCGCCGGGGTGTTTTATGGTCTCTATCGGATTTGAACCAGCTTCCAAAACCATTTCGCTGAATAAAGACGGAAAGAAGTTGTTTTCTAAAGTCGTGTTGGTTTGTGGAATTCGATTCTGAGTGGCGTCTTTGATTTTGAAATCGCATCGGAAATGGACATCGGAAAGCAGCAACCAATTGGTCAACGAATTAATTTCAAAGGTAACTCTTCCTCCGTCGTTTATTTGGGTCTTTGTCCCTACCGATGGTGAGATGATTACATAATCTTCTTTCTTCTTGTTGAACGAATATTGAATCGGATCATACAATTGAAAGATTGGATCCAATCTGTAATTTTTGCTTGCCATTTTTATCCAATGATTTTAAACCCTTTTCCTTGTTTTTCTAGGGCTTGTCGTTCTAGTCTCTTGTTTCTTAGTTCTCTTATTAGCTGCATTTCTTTAAGTTTGTCAGATTTTTTCACTGCATCGCTTATATTTACTCCTGCTTTTGCCACAGATCCAAGAGCTTGCGCTTCTGGGGAAATGAAGGATTTGTTGTTTGAGACAAAATTGGCCACTTTGGGGATGAGAGATGTTAGCGCAGAGAAGAAACCGATACCTTCGAATTTTTTTTGTACGTGTTTTAAAATTAAAGACATTTCTATTTTTTAATGGGGATATTTTATACTGTTTTATTATAGTGATTCTTGTCTGTGGTTTGGGTAATTTATATGGAGTCTGTTATAATACAGTTTGGAGGAATCTGTTATAATACATTTTTTTAACAGTTTGAGGAGTCTGTTATAATATATTTTTAGCAGTTTGGGGAGTCTGTTATAATACATTTTAACAGTTGTGTCTTTTCGGATATGACGCATTGAAAAGCTGCGCATGCGCAGAAGTGAAAGGCGTCATATCCGAAAAGACATATACTACTGAAAAAGGCGAGGTAAAAGGCGAGGAAAAAGGTGAGGAAAAAGGCGAGAAAGCAAGGGTAAAAAGGCGAGGGAAAAAGTGAGGAAAAAGAGGAGAAAGCGAGGAAAAGGGCAAGGAAAAATGCGAGAAGGCGAGGAAAAAGGCGAGAAAGCGGAAAGAAAGCGAGGGAAAGGGCGAGGAAAAAGCCACTGAAAGCGAGTGTAAAAAAAGGCGAGGAAAAAGGCGAGAAAGCGAGAGTAAAAAAGGCGAGAAGTCGAGAAAGTGAGGAAAAAGGCGAAAAAGCGAGGAAAATTTTCCTCGCTTTCTCGCCTTATTCCTCGCCTTCTTCCTCGTCTTATTCTACACTCGCTTTCTCGCCTTTTTTGTCGTCTTTTTCCTCGCTTTCTCGTGGGCGAGAAGTCGAGAGTAGCTATGGCAGCAACCGGCTTCCATAATTTTGAGTCCAATTCAGTCGCGTTTTGAGTCAAATTTCTAAAAAATTGCCGTTCATGATGACTCTACTGCCTAAACTGTTACTGATTTTTGCGGCTCATGCACACTAAAGTGTTTGAATTTTGACCGATTTTAGCTGTGATTACTAGTGGTTATTTATTCATGAAATGACCGTGAATCCATATTGTTATGATTAATGTAGAAACCATAAACACTGACCTGTCTGTAGCAAACTTTATCTTCAATATTTTCATGATGGAAACAATTTTCACCAGATTCAAACAATGAACATATTTTATTTCTCCTGTCAAACATGATCCGTCTGCAATTCTCAGTAGTAGAACACGAAAAACAACATTGCATGAGAGATCGACATTCTAATGAAAATAGTAGATTATAAAAGGAACCTTCTCCACAGGTTTCTGGTTCATTAAACATTCGAGTCGGCGCATACTCTCCTATCTGGAGCCCAGTTACAAGCGCAGGTACTAAAAGAATCAACATATTATGAATAAAACGGGATCAGCAATAAAAGTCAATATTAAAAAGATTACGGGTAACAATTTCTTCATCAATAAACCATTTCGTTTTAACACAAAATCCCTAAATTTGTCTTTAACGGCTTGTGTTTATTCCGTGAATTTGAATTGTAGCCTTTAAGTTTTGTTTAAAACCTGTATGAAAGAATTTAGATTTAACACTATATATAATAAAGAATTTATGTCTGCCTCGATATCAAATGAATGGAATAGTATTGAACTCAGTAGATAGTTGAAGTAAATATTTTTATATTTTCTACGGTAATTCATTTGCATAAAGTAGAGAAAATATTACTAAGAACATAATGGCTAAACACGAAAGAGAAAATCGAAATCGATCAATTAACAGAGGTTAGTGGTCGAAATCTGTTCAATAAATTTTAAAAACACGATGATCGGAGGTCTGCGTGAAATGTCATTATTGAACGCATACAACAGCTAGTGAGGAACCATTCATCGAATTAACATTCAGAATAAACAAACATATTCTCAGGCAAATGCAATATTATAGGTCACATAATATTTCAACACGTCACAAAAACATGAAATTTGGCACTTTGATTATGTGATTATCATTATAGGAGCTTTGTTACACCCATTATATTACCTTACAACCCTTTCCTTTCTATTACCTATTTCAGAATTATTGACAGTCTGATTAATATTAGACCCAACTTTCGTTTCGTTTTTTTTTTATTATTATTAGATTTTTTTTTAAGTATAGCCACCTCACAGTAAGGTCTAACGACCGGAGTCTTGAACATACGTCAAATGCACCTTTTAATTAGTTTTTGAATTTCCTTGATAACAAACACTTGATGTGAAAAAATCAAGAATTTCATATTAGCTTTAAGCAGTGCCAAAGTTCTAATACTTTATACAAACTTAATATCTTCTCTATTCAGCGGCTTATATCAGATTGGTGAGAAGACAGTATTATTCTTTTCACATTATTAATTGAATTTTCCGGACCATTGTCCTTAAAGGATGTTTTCTTTACTAACGCCCAAGCTGAAGTCGCTCCATTATAAAGTTTTGGTTTTATTAATCGCTTCTGGAATATATTGTTTTCGACTAACATGGTACAAAAGGTTTATTTCTAAAAAAAAATTCACACAAGCCTTCATCTTCTTCAAAAAATGTCCAAACAATAAAGAGCTCAAGACAAGCAGTTATTCTTATGAAGTTGTATTCCTTGTCTGATATTTTAAGTCACCATATAAAATAACGGCATTTTCAGATTACTGGATTGAAACAATTTAATCATAGCAAGAACAAAACCCTTTTTATTTTAACTTTTTTATTACAAAATGTTTACATTTTTACAACCATAATTAAGCAAGATTTTCCAGTAGATAATCAATAAATATATTAGAACAAAAGATAACAGATTATCAAATATTCAATATTATGTACAAAAGATAGTGTATTTGAAATCTGGTACACCGTCCTAGGGTATAGTTATAATTTGAATATATTCGAGACAGGAAAACAAGCCAATTTGAGGGTTAAAAAAAAACAATGATATGTAATGGTTATATACATGGTTTTCGAGCTGTATGGAGTGAGGTTCCGAGGGGCGAAGCCAAGGAGATTCTCACTCTAAAAGAATAGCTGTAGCAGCAGATACGCCGAGGAAGCCATGTATATAACTGACTTATACCACATAGTTTTTCGAGAATTAAATACGGATGATAATTTAATAAATTTGACAGAAAATAATTTGAAAGTTTGTGAAATCTCCCCGTTAGGACCCCACACAACTTGAACGAACAATTATCAATTGATATGTAACACTGAATTTCATGACCTGAAAGGCACGTGCAGATTTCTATCATTATTTTGATTGGCTACTTATATTGGGTGTCACAGGACATTTCATGAACATATTTCAACACCATTTGTGGATGAATTTGACACGAATCTGATCTTATTTTATCTCTTATAGATATACCAGAAACAGAAAATATTATGTTACCATGTCATACGGAAATCAAAAGACCCGTTAAGTTTTTTGTTGTTGCTTGTTCCTCCACGATATTGAATTGATAGCATTTGGTGAACCTAGTAATGTGCTTATTTATTTGTAAGGATTATCGTGGGGATTACAGTAAATTTTGTAGAAAGCTTTTGTGGAGAAGGAGAATTGAAGCAAACAGAAAATTAATTTGGGTAAGGTATTTATAGTAAATTTTTGTATGAATTGAAAAATCAAGTCCAAGGTATTATTGACCTTAAATATTTTGCGTGTGAACCAATGAAAAATTAAAAATTATAAGTGTATTTTACAGATTTTTCAGTCTCATATCATTTTTTATTTGATATTTCTTAGAGGAAAGAATTGTGTTTATTTCAAATGTAAAATCCAAAAACCTGAAAATGTCTATCAGCCAAAAGATATTCGCAATCGAAAATTTAAATATCATTCCGACTAAAATTACATCGTTCTAAATTTTAATATTGTTAATCTCGAATACGATTCCCAAAGTTGTGGTAATAGTACATTGAACATTGAAATTATACACATTTTTTTTTTATTTAAACAATATTTCTTTATTTGTGAATTTAGTGGTGCAATGTACGAAAGATATATATGCGATACAGAAAAAAGCATAGTGCTTATTCGAATCTGTCTCGCTGAGTAATATACATACATACACAAATATATTTCATAAGATACATAAGTTAATACATGTAAATCAAAGTCCTTCTATACTAGACTGATGAAATGGAGATTGTGGTAATAGATTAAAGAGAGTGATGAGAGAAAGAGATATAGACAAAGATAAATGAGTGGTACCATGGGTCGTCTAACAGACATGAGCATTCTTTGAAAATAATCAAGTGAACAAAGAGACGCATCGTGTGCCGTTTTTGTGGTATCAAACTAGTGTTTGTATAGTATCCAACTTGTATTTATTGGTATCAAACTGGTAGTAGTAATGTATCAAACTGGATGGTAATTATCAAACTAGTGGTGGTAATATATATAGACACAGCTTTATGGAACAACAATCACTGGTTAAAGTTTTATGCAACGTTTCGACGTGTTTCCCCCGTCGTCCTCAGGCACATAATGAGAAGAAGTGATGGGCAAACTATATATACATTAATGCTTATTATTAAGAACACACAAGAGAAAATGGTTTATTGATACATTGATTAAATTTTAACAGGTACAATAAGAGGTATATTATTCTTAAAATAACATACAGGCTGATTAAGTAAAATAATTGAAGTAAAGTAAATGAATTAAAAAAGATTAATTGAAGATTAAATAAACAACTATTGCTGGTATTGGAGTCTTTTATTAATAGAAATTACATTGTTCATATAACTAACTATGCTTAAAGTTGGAAATTGTTTGAATATGAATAATTACAAGTTGATAAGTTTATCATATGCATGCGATAAACGAACACCTTCATCTCTGTTAAGGTCAGGCTGATATCTTCTGAT